TAATTATATAGTAAACACTGCAATGTGGGGAACAATCTAGTTGTCATGGAAACATAGGGGCATGAACCTCAGCCCACTGTGGGGAGAAGCAGATTACTGAGCAGTGTCTTCAAGTGGCAATTATGGGAAGAAATGGTTAGGATACCACAGGAAGAGAAAGAACGTAAGCGGATACAGGATGAGAAGAGGAGGTTGGGATACCACAGGCAGAGAAATCACGTAAGCAGGACACAGGATTGTGTATTTGTGGAGTAATGTGGGTAATTACCAGTGCTGTTGTCCTGCTAGAGCTGAGGACTGAGTCGGGATGGAGGAGTCACTTTGATCTGCAGTGATTTGTCATCTGATGGATGGAGAGCTACTGACAGATGTTAGGCAGGGAGGGATGCATGCAATTTTGAGCTTAAAAAAAAAAGATGAGCTCAGTGGTATAGTGATTGCAGTATAAACAAGACCATAGGGAAAGATGAATGAAGAAACTGTAGAAATAATACAGGCAAAAGCCAAAAGAGCTGACATGGAGGGAAACATAGCTGACATTCTGGAATGCCAAAGAAAGTCACTGAAAATTTTTGACTTGATGAATAGTAAGTGAAGAACGATGGATTAACAACTCTTTAACCCTTCAACATGCCAACAATCATGAGTTTGAGGTATGGCATTCAAGTCAACCTGATTCTACCTCGTATTAGAAATTCCACCTCTCTAAAGGAAAAAGAAGAAACCAAAAAGGAAGTGTTATGGTCAACCCCAAGTTACAGTCGATTACACTATTTTCCTCACAGTTGGCCTTAACCAGTCATCACATATGTTTAGTGGTTAGAATTCACTAGTGTGTTTAGGGAAAAAAAAGAACTACAATGAGTAAAACCATGTGACCTGAGTATCAGAAAAAAGATTGCCACAGAATCAGCAATCAGTAGTTTAAAGACATTCGCAAAATCACATCTCCAAGTAGATCCTTCCTATTTACCCGTACTCCAAAAATAGAAAACTATTCAGAAGAAGGGAGCATTTGCAATCAGAAAATGCCTGAGTCATCTCATTCTTTGTTATGTAAAACCGCTTAGGCTTTCATGCACAGGGGTTAGGAGGTGGGGACCTTAGTACTTCAGTTGTGATGCTGTTTGGGACGCCCACATTTCATATCAGAGTACCTGGGTTCCAGGCCTGGGTCCCTTCCCAGTTCGAGCCTCCTGCTTATGAACACTGTAGAAGACAGCAGATGGATGGGAGGTCGGGAGGAGCTCGAGTACAAGGGCCCCTGCCACCTGCATAGGACACCTAGATTGCGTCCTGGAACTCAGCTTCTGTTTGGCCCAGCCCCAACTCTTGGGGGCACTGAGAGAGTGAACCAGAAGGTGGAAGGTGTCTGTCTCTCTGGCTCTCTTCCTCCCAAATAGAGAAACAAAGTTTTACAAATTACTTAGGCTACTCTTTGAGACTGATAACGAAAGATACCAGATACCAGAAACATAAATATTTTTCAACAGAAAAATCCTTAACATGACAACAGCATCTATCATTAATGTGAGACTTTTTTTAAAAGAACATTGGCATTGAAATTCACTTTAAGATATGAAGCTTTAGTACCTTACAATGCACAATATTTGGAGAGGGCACTCAGGTCAGGTTTAGCCTCATTTATATAATATATTCAGCTGAATATAACTCTTTAATACCACAAACTTGAAATATTCCTAAAAGTTATTAAATAATGAAAAACATGTACTGAATATGGATCATGAAACATTAACAAACCTTTCGTTAAATTGGATTTGCAAACTATATATTTCCCAGAGGAGAATTGGGTGTGCAAAGGAGTGTTAATCCAGAGACAATCATTCTAGACAGGAAAAAAGGTCAAGGCAGGTGAGGCAATCCCAGGATCTCTGTTTAAAGCCATTGGATGTAACCACTGAGTCAGTGACAGACTTAGGGTGCTATGCCTCCAGGACAGAGATCCTTGCTCTATCAGCACAGTTTATCTGTGGTTCTCAGGCAACTACAGTTCTGGGACCTGGTGGCAATTCTGGGACCAATGGTGGGGAATGAAGATTTATGCCAACACCCTGCAACCCTGCATTTCATCAGTTATACCATTCCCAGGATTTCCGTAAACCCATGTTTCACACCCTGTTCTATTTCTCAACCTGAGTAATACCTCTGCATCTTGTCCAGGATAGTCTTGAAGTGGTTACACCATGCAATCACATGAAAATTTGCTTCTTTGTTTTACTGGCCCATCTGTGCTTGTTTTGCACTATCTAGGAGCACTGCTCAGCTCAACACAGCTCCTTTCTCAGAGGACATTTACAACCTCACATTGATGACAGCACAGGGAAGTCTGATTTCCAGATGTGCTTCTTTCTAATACAGTAGATCCAAAATCTCTCTAATGTCTTCTGCCTTCTGAGCCCTCTCTTGGGAGCATTCCAATACTGAGTGAAGGATTGTCCATTGCACACTGTATCTGCATTGCCACAGAAAGGTATTTCCACAAATGCCCAAGAGACGTTCATCCATGAGAAGCAATCCTACAAAACTATCCAATCCAAAGCCGATTTCGGAGCATATTATAGGAAACAGCTCAGATTCCACGGGTAAGAGATGGTGACCTAAGTTTGACCCACGTCTGTTTCCTTGTTCACAAGTAATGTGAGAGATTTGTGGTCTCCCATCTAGGATGAATCTGCCTTGAGCTGAATATCTAAAACTAGAACCTCCCAGGAAGTTCAGGGACCTTGCAATAGAAGAGTATGGAAACAGTCTCTTTCCTTCTTTATTGAAAACTTGTCATACTGAGGCCTGTGTCCATGCTGCTCACAAGGACAGCATCTATGTGATCCATTATCAAGCCTGTGCCCCCAATTTCTGATCCTTTGGGAAAGCTTATATACAGCCCTCTTCATTGGTAGAGCAAGTGAAGTCTCCTGTATGCTTTCTGCATTATGAATAGTGGGTGTCTGCTGAGCTTCCCCGTGTGGCTAGCTTTTGCTTAGAGACCCCTGAGGTCACCACCTCACACCTTTGCCGAGGCCCCTGCACAACAGGCTGCAAATCTGGTGCATGCACAGCAATGCCTCAGTGGAAACAGACAGACATACATCTTTAGACAGAGCCACCATAAACGACCATGATTCACCTAGACAAAAATACACGGGCCAATACCTAAGGCCTTTAGCAATACACCCAAGTCAACAGATTGCATTTAAAATTAAGTATTTAATTAAGTACCTTAAAGTTCAAACCTCCTACCCTACCCCTTAGAAGCAGCAGTCCCATACTGTGTTCCATTTCTTCTGGATTTCATTTCATCTCATTTTTTAAAGATTTATTTGAGAAACAGAATGACAGATAGGGTGAGATAGAGACAAGAGACCACTGGTTCACTCCCAAATTGATCCTAACGGCCAGGGCTGGGCCAAGCTGAAGCCATGAACCTGGGACTCCATCTGGGTCTTCCTTGTGGGTGACAGGAGCCCAAGGACTTTCCAAGGTGCATTCCCAGAAGCAGAGTCACTGGAACTCAAATCAGCACCCCGATGCAGAAGACCAATGTCACCATCATCAGCTTGGTGTACTGCACTACAATGCCAGCCTCTTGGCAGAACACTTCCTCAGCTGAAATCTTGTCACCAAGAGCCTTCAAGCTTATAGAATATCCATGCAGGCTGTCTTGTGTTCCAGCTCCCAAAAATGAAGAAGTGAGAGCAGGGCTGAGCTGAGCTATGCCTACCCCAGCTGTCCTCCTAGTCTCAGGCTGAAATGCTGGAAGTGTAACCCAACAAAGGTTCTGAAACACAAAGGCCAATGAAGAATAAAAGAATAACCCTCATCTTCCTGTAACCACTATGATTTTTGGTGAAACCATCCAATTTTGAATATGTGGCTGATGCAAATGAAAAATGACTGATGTGTGAAATAATTTTTAAAAATATATTGCTACTTCCAAGCACATGCAAAGTAAAAATATGACTGGATAAATTTAGATACTCCCTCAATAAATAGATTAGTCTGACAGTTATGAGTACAAATTGGTATTGATTTAAAACATTTTCCACTCAAAATTTTTTCCATGGACAAATAATGAGTGACTTTCTGCTTTTGAAAAAAAAAAAGTAAAATTTGCATATTTTAATTTCAGTAGAAAACTTTTCTCCATGTGCTTTAAATTAAAAGTTCAACTACCATCTCTGCTAAGAGGTTAACGCAATTCCTTGTATCAACCACCATGTGACAGAGGACTAAAATCAAACCACTGCAGATTTCTGTCCATGGGAGAGGACTCAACATTTCTCTTTGTGGTCCCCTCTTCTCTCCAGGCTGTGTTGTCCTCGCCAGTCCCTGCCTCCTCCTTATAGTTCTTCTTCAACATGTATTTTTTTACACAACCAGCAAGTGTTAGCAAGTGCTGCTTCCTGTATATACACACCACTATGTTACCTCCCCAGTTACATTCACTACCTGCATGAATCATACTAATTCATGATGAAATGATGCTAATCATTTTGACTGACTTCACTGATTCTCCAGTATCAGGGTTTTTCATATACAAATGTGATACATCTATATATAGATATCATACACCCAGGAAAAGATCGTTGATGTTAGAATAGCTTTCTGGTTTTCCTCAAATTTGTGCACAAACGTAGCCGCCTACTCTCTTGCCATACACTACTGTTTGCTGTTTTGCACTCTGCATTTCTGTTGAAGGCAACTCATGTTTAGATCATTACCCCTTGTTTGTTCATATTCAGATCTTCCTATTTTATCATTCATGTCTAGCCTACAGAATTAAAAGAAACGCATTGCACAATTTAGAGAGCAATGCTTTGGCATAGTTTTCACATGCTTCATATTCCAGAATATTCCAAGCTTTGTTACATGGAAATTGCTGATCATTTTTCCAGATACGGAGAGGTGATATATTAGCTGATGTCTTATCTCAAGATGCCTAAAATGAAGACAATCTGATATTTTTTCTTTCTTTGAACTAGGAGCTGAAGCTAACTTTATGCTGAAAATTCATCCTCTGAAGAAATATCCTGTGGATCTTTACTACCTGGTTGATGTCTCTGCATCGATGCACAATAATATAGAAAAATTAAACTCTGTCGGAAATGACTTGTCAAGGAAAATGGCCTTTTTCTCCCGTGACTTCCGCCTGGGGTTTGGTTCCTATGTTGATAAAACTGTGTCACCCTACATCAGCATCCACCCAGAAAGGATTCACAACCAGTGCAGGTATGTCGTGCTTGATGTGAGCATTGCTAAACTGATGTTCTTCTGAAGTCTCACCTTGTTCTTTACAGAAAGGTGTGAGTGGATTTCATACCGTGGTCTTGTTCCATCTGAATACTTCTGAAATGGACTGTAGATCAATCATTGTTGTTATTTTTATTTTATATTATTCCAACTAGCAGGTATTCAGTTTTCATCACCAATAACAATAATAATGATGGCCTTTCTATCTAATATTGGTGTCCCCAAATAGGCTGCCGATTACATGATTATCCCTTTGGAAACCCTGCATTTCTCCTTTTCGATTGTTCTAACTTTGCTAAACTCAAATTCTGGACTACTTATCTTGCCAGCACTGCAGCTGACTCTCATATCTGCAGTGTGACTTGGTATGACTGCATTGCTCAGGACGTGAGTAAAAACCAAACTCGGCTATCACATGCAGAGTGGGTCAAAGGATGAGCATTTTCTTAGCATTTTCTTTGGAATCCTGTTCCTGTCTAGTCCATGTCTCACCCTGAAAGAAATACTTAACTTAAATTGCAAATTTCTCATAATATTATAATGCTGATGGATTTTCAGAGAAACGACCTATATGATTCTTTCTCCATAAAATATTTTAGTAACTTTACAATTGGCATGCATGGCCCAAGCCGACTTCGGATGCATCTTCCAATTGAGTAAGGCATTGCTGATATTTTTTTTTCCTTCATGCCAAGACTCATTTCAGACCATCAGGGAATTCCAGCAGTGCCTGGCCTTGAATGACTGACCAGGAGACTCATGGTCTGGTATAGAAATCTTTAAAAATAACTTCATCAGTAGTTCCACACCAAGTAGCAGTTTGAAAATCAGGTGGCAGGGAGTGTGGCACTTACATCACCTCCATCCTGTATCAGGAAGTGTGGCACTCAGGTCACTTGTGTCCTGTATAAAGGAGTGTGGCACTCAGGTCACCTGTGTCCTGTATAAAGGAGTGTGGCACTCAGGTCACCTGTGTCCGTATCAGGGCGTGTGGCACAGGGCTTTGTCCCCACTCAGGTCACCTGCGTCCGGTATAAAGGAGCATGGCACTCAGGTCACCTGTGTCCTGTATAAAGGAGTGTGGCACTCAGGTCACCTGTGTCCTGTATAAAGGAGTGTGACACTTAGGTCACCTGTGTCCTGTATAAAGGAGTGTGGCACTCAGGTCACCTGTGTCCTGTATAAAGGAGTGTGGCACTCAGGTCACCTGTGTCCTGTATCAGGGAGTGTGGCACTCAGGTCACCTGTGTCCTGTATAAAGGAGTGTGGCACTCAGGTCACCTGTGTCCATATCAGGGCGTGTGGCACAGGGCTTCGTCCCCACTCAGGTCACCTGCGTCCGGTATAAAGGAGTGTGGCACTCAGGTCACCTGTGTCCTGTATAAAGGAGTGTGGCACTCAGGTCACCTGTGTCCTGTATCAGGGAGTGTGGCACTCAGGTCACCTGTGTCCTGTATAAAGGAGTGTGGCACTCAGGTCACCTGTGTCCTGTAAAAAGGAGTGTGGCACTCAGGTCACCTGTGTCCTGTATAAAGGAGTGTGGCACTGGTCACCTGTGTCCTGTATAAAGGAGTGTGGCACTCAGGTCACCTGCGTCCTGTATAAAGTAGTGTGGCACTCAGGTCACCTGTGTCCGCATCAGGGTGTGTGGCACAGGGCTTCGTCCCCACTCAGGGCACCTGCATCCTGCATCAGGAGCTTGAGTTCTAGTGCTGTGCTCAGTTCCAGCTTCTTGCCCATGCACGTGCTGCAGGCAACATGTGATGGGTCAAATACCTCAATCCTTTCTTTCCCCATGTTGATTGAGTTGCAGGCACTCAGCCTTAGCCTGGCCCATCGTTGGCTGCCATGGGCATTGAATTAAATGAATCAGAAGATATCTCTCTGTTTCTCTGTCTCTCCCTGTCTCTCTGCCTTTCAAATATAAACAAATAAATGGAAACCATATTTAAAATCGATGAAATTTTTTTAATTTGAACAATAATATGTTTCAGCTAAATGCCCAAAGTATATTTTTTTCTCAACTACTTCCTGATCACCTGTGATAGGGAACCACTATAAATTCTCATCTTCTCATCTTCCTCATAAAAAATTTCACCAGGAATATAGCCCTGCATACACTTAAATAGCAGAACTGTCCTTCAGGAATCATTTTTTTGAATTTCAAGCCTTATGCTTGCATTGCAGCTTGGAAGAAAGCATTCACCAATAACTCCTCTCTATCTATGAAAGTGTTAAGTGTGTGCTTAAGTTTCTCTGATTTAAAAAATAATCTATTTCCATTTGTGTCTCAATAACATCATGTTAGTGGTGTTCTGGAACTTTCCAGGAAGCAAAGCAAAATGGACTTTGCATTCCATTTTTCCCCATACAGTGACTACAACTTAGACTGCATGCCTCCCCACGGGTACATCCACGTGCTGTCTCTGACGGAGAACATCACAGAATTTGAGAGAGCCGTGCACCGACAGAAGATCTCTGGCAACATAGACACACCCGAGGGGGGCTTCGACGCCATGCTGCAGGCCGCGGTCTGTGAGGTAAGACGCTTCCTCTTGGGAAGCATGGGTGCCGGACTCCAGATGTTTGTTTTCTGTCTTGCATTTATGGAGTGAAAACAGAGGAATGCAGACTCCTGTCTCCTGCAGGTCACCAGTGTTGTACACTTAGACCTGTTTTTGAGATGGGAGCTAGACTATCAGAAGAGTACATTAACACAGATTAAAAAGGCAAGGCTTGCTTATGCCTGTGGGGAAAGCTTCTCCAGCAAGATTGCTTTGTTTATTCATCTCACTTCAAGGAAAAACCAGAAGTAGTCAGCTGTCCCATTCACATCATGTTACTGGCTTACTTTATACCTTGGTTTATGTCTTCCTCTGGGACAACCCCAGAACTCTGTGACCAGGAACTGGCATGATGGATAAATGACTGTGGGAAAATAGAGGATATACAAATAGCAGTAAATGCTGTTTATGAAGCAGCCTTCTCAGCGTGTGCATCATTCTAGCCTGGCTTAGAAGTTTCTCAACTCGAACATTTACTGAAGGTACAGACCACAGTGCAGATCTATGTTACTGTGCAAGACCTAATTACATGTTTCTTTCAAGAGTCACATTGGATGGCGAAAAGAAGCTAAGAGATTGCTGCTGGTGATGACGGATCAGACTTCTCATCTGGCGCTTGATAGCAAGCTGGCAGGCATCGTGGTGCCGAATGATGGAAACTGCCACCTAAGGAACAACATCTATGTCAGGTCCACCACCATGGTAATGTAGCAGTAGCCCTCCAGAGGCTAAGCCTGTTGGGATGAGAGGACAAGGGTAACGTGGCAAGTTCAGCCGTTCTCCCACAGGAGCACATGGAACAAGTCAATCCATAAACACCGATCAACAAAACACTGAGTGCTTTGACAACACGTGTTCTGATGAGCTACAAATGTAGCACTGTAGCATTTTTTAAAAAATAAAAGTGATCAGAACTTTCCTTCTTGGGCAATTAAAGGACCTTGGAAAAGATGTTGGCGGGGGGTGGGGAGAGAAAGTATACTTTGTACAAATAGACCAGTTCTCTAGGATTGATATGTACACACTGGTTAAGGAATAGTAAGACATAGGTCTTTGGCCTGAGGCCCAAGTACAAGAGATAGGAACCAAGCAGAGACCAGAAAGAGAAAATACTAAGACAAGATGAGAGTCCTCTGTTTGGAGGCTCTGAAGCCTACCCCTTTAGAAGCTTACCTGTGTGCAAGATCTCCTTTTAAATCAGTGAGCTCTCAGGTGGTATCCTGAGGATGAGACCTTTGAATCATATGCTTGAATGCAAATCCTCAAGAATCATGTCTTTCCCCATATTAGCTAGTTCTAAATGTGTAAAAATCAACAGCACATTTGTTTCTGAGAGTGATACCTGTTTCTTTTACATACTTGCAAGTATTACAATGGAAGTTTTCAGAGCCAGTGACATGATGGATTAAACCATTACTTGTAATGCCTTGTGCCATATCACAGCATCAGTTCAATTCCAAGCTACTACTCTGCTTCTGATCCAGCTCCCTGTCAACATGCCTGGGGAAGGAGCAGAAGATGACCCAAGAGCGAGGTCCCTGCCATCCATGTGCAGGACCCAGATGGAGCTCTAGGTTCTTGGCTTCAGCTTGACCCGTCCCTAGTTGCCGTGGCTATTTGAGGAGTGAAGCAATGAGTAGAAAACCTTCCTCTCACTCTCTTTCTCTCTGTCTCTCTCCATCTCTTCCAGTCTAGTGCTCTACCTCTCAAATAACCAAAATAAATCTGAGACAAATGAAACAATAGAAATTTTTTCTCAGTTCTTGAGATTCTAGTGTCTCCATGATTATTTTCCAAATCACGGCGCACCGTGGCAAAATAAATACCTAATAATTGTAGCTATTAGATCCAAATGACTTGATTGTTTATCTCACGACTACCTAGTAGGTGGTTAAAATAATATTTATGGATCAAATAGATACATTTATGTTTGTATCTGTTTTAGTCAATAGGTTACTAATAGGAGCTATTTATCAGATAGGATATTGCATCCCTCACTTTGTATTTCATGTTGACCACCTTGACCAAGATACGATTCCCTTTAAACTAAAACCAAATGTAACTTTAAAGAGTAAACAGCCTCTACTTGCATTTATCTTGGAATTAAAAAAGATTTCATGAGGCCACCATTTGGATTAGCAGTTGAGCCACCACCTGGGATATCTGTATACCCTGTTGGGGTACCTGGAACCGACTCTCAGCTCTGGCTCCTAATTTCAGCTTCCTGCCTTGCAGCCATGGGAGACAGTGATCCCAAACAGTTCAGTTCCTGATACCCATACGGAAGACCTGGATTAAGTTTTTATCTCCTGGCTTCAGAGCCAGAGTAAACCAACAATCTCTCTCTCTCTCTCTCTCTCTCTCTTTCTCTAATATATGTAAGTGCAGTGTGTAGTGCAATGCTCCAAGGCACTTCATGCATGAAACAAATTATGCTAGGCTTGCATGGTCCCCATGTGTAACACTGAAAGAAATCATCAGTTACTCTCTCTCTCAAACACTCTACATAATTGCATTGGCAAAGAAAGTAAGTTCAACTCTTGGTCAGTGAATTTGAAACTTCGGGATTTGGAATTATTCTGACAGCCTTTCCTTGTTACTGTTCTTTCACCTCATCTCACTTTGCCACAGACTCACCTGCTTCTATTAGTCATCTTCTATCTATTCCCTGTTAATCTGAGGTATGGCTCTCATTTATTTATCGAAGACCAGAGGAGGAGACGGGAGACAATGAGAAACTTTCATTTCCTTAAGGAGAAATCACAATGATGTCTTTCCCAAATTACTTGATTCTTTTGAAGTTCTGCCAGCTCACTGAGGTCATCTCTACTTACGAGAGGCCATTGCTCATCTAGAGAGGACTCATTAGGCAGAGAAATGCTGTCATAATGTTAAACATACATCATGTCATAGGACCTTATGAAAATAAGTTAGAATTCTCTTGGAATTTCAGGCAGTGTTGGGGTTTTAATGACATCAGGAAATTGGACAATCATGAACTTCCCCCAACTTCTGAGTTATAAAGTCATGTCCTTAAGGGAGTGACCCCTCGATGTGTCACTGGTGTGAAGTACTGAGTAAGCTAAGGGGTAGCTGTAGCTTAGTTAATACCTTAGACAAATGCTTTATTTCAGTTATCACAGGTCTGTGTTTTAAAGGATCGAAAGCACTTTGAAGGGCTCTTAGCTATGCATTCCTAGATACATGAACTTCACACAGCTCATGGAAAGTACACTTCAAATTCCAGTTCCCCACAACTTTTGAAGCCCCCGTATACAAGACCTGCCACTGGCTCAAAACTGCCTTTATCAAAATATGTCTTGGCGCTCCCTCTAACCATGCTTCCTGCTGCTTTAAAAAAGATCACCACCTTCATCTGCCTGTCCATTATGGAGGAATGTTATCATTTCGATCAGGTATACCAGATATCCAACTCTAGTTTCCTGCCTTGTTTCCAGCAACCAATACTAATAATGTTGAATGGTGCTTTTATTTGGGCTTCTTGGTACCAGAGTCTGATTCATGAGGGAAATGATTGGTAAAAGAAGATCATTTATATAAATACTTCAAAAGAGTCACGGAAGCACAGAATTGAATTTTAACCTTGGGGATGACACTGTGGCACAGGGGTTAAGCCTCCGCTTGCAACACTGGCATCCTGTTTTCAAGTGCCACTTCAACTCTCAGCCTCTCAGCTTCACATCCAGCTCCCTGCTAAAGCACCTGGGAAGGCAGTGAATGATGGCTCAAGAGCTTTAGTGCCTGCCAGCCATGGGGGACGCCCAGATGGCGTTGTTGGTTCCTGACTTTGATCTGAACCAGCTCTGAATGTTGCAGGTATGCAGATATTTGGGAGGGTAAATAAGCAAGTGAAAGCTCTCTCTCCCATTGTTTCTCACCCTCCTTCTCTGATGTTCTGCCTTTCAAATAAAATAAGTGAAACTTATTTTAAAAGATGAGCTTTTTGTGCAAAGAAAATTGAAACCCATGCATAGCTTTTGATAATGTATGTTTGCAGTCAACTTTTTAGGCTCTTTGTATGCAAGAGTTTCAAGTTTTTGCACCAAAATAAGTATCTTTTAATTCTGCTTTCTGCAAACGATTGAAGTATCCTTGCATATGTCCAGACCACAAGGGCCAGAGTTCTTCTGCTTGTTCACATGAGTTTCAAGAAGATCAACATGAATGCCAGAATCATAACAAGAAGCACTGAGTATGTATTAACGATAAACACTGCAACAAACAGTGTCAAGTTTATCTTCACAGCAGTGCCATGAAATTGTCATGATTATCTCCTTTTACAAACCAAAAGTTTAAGGGTCAGGAGCACTAAGTTAGTGGTCTTGGGCCAAAGAGTTGAAAAATGACTAAGTTGAAGAGTTAGGCCAAAAGTCCATTTCAGCCGTAGGTTAAAAATCTAGATTTTTGACCATTTTGCCATTGGACTTCAAATGAAAGCAAGAAGAAATGCAGACTTGAGGTTCCTAGTGTCATTTCTGCTCTAACTCTGAGTGTTGCTAGCTAAGAACTTGGCTTACATAAATTATAGAATAAAATAAAATAATTCACTTCATATTTGTATATTGGTACATGATGTTAAACTATTGAAAACAATGCAACTTTCATTGCTTTTTTTCTTCAAGATTGTGTCAGAAGAACCCTGCCTAGTCATGCGGTTTTACAATCTACGCATTGATAATGACAGTTCTTTCTCTAGCGGTAGATTTTGATATAAAAGTGGTTCATGTTTAATACCAAGGGTCTGGAATTTCACCCTGCCTCCCCACCCTCCTCCTCTGGGGTTCTACCAACCCCTCGCAGTCCTCCTCGAAACCATTCACTCCACACTTGGTGGAGGTCAAGAACAGCACTAGGATCTTGAGCCACAGTGAGAGGAGACCAAGGAACAAGGATGTGGAGGTTGCCCGATGACCCTTGTCAATGTGATTTTTAGATGTTGGTGTGACTCCCAGTCCTGAATAGAGAGATTCAGTTTGGCCAGCTCCTGGCACATTCCTATTATCTTCTCTAGTATTCACAACATTAGGCCTGGAATTCCCTCACTCCTGGCTTCTGCATGTGTTCCACAGCTACATAGGAAATCCAGTTCTTCAAATATGAAATGAAACCATCTGAATCACTAAGCCAAGCATTGGCCTCAAATATGCTAATTTATTGGATGTACTTCTTCTGTGACAGGCACCAAATACATTTAAAAATTTTAAGTCCATGTGCATGTTTTCTTTAAAAACATGCATTGTTACATCTTATTGTGCTCTTAAAAACCCATAAAGTCTTTGTGCTTAGTGTTAGTTGGATTTTTTCTTTAATTGGAAGCTAAAATTTTAAGCATAATCACCAGAGTCAGGCTCAAAGTAGCCTGCCTCTGATTATATAATGTTTCTGGAATAGAAAAAATGATCATTTGCAAAGGTGGCGCAATGGAATCCGAATTTGATTAACATGCCAATGGAATGAAATGTTCTAATTAAACTGGATATTTCAGTCATAAAATTGCCATTCTTCTTGAAAAGCATTCTAAGATAATTAGCCGATGCCTTCCTTTAGTAAATTAAGGATTGTGGTTAAAAACTTTGGGCACAGACTCAGGCATCTTCGGAGGCCAACTATGAGGAGCAGGTCAGGAACACATTTCACCTTTATGAGTGACCCTCAGTTGCCTTCATTAGGTAGTCTTTTTT